TGCATAAGTGTGTGTGTGTGTGTGTGTGTGTGTGTGTGTGTGTGTATCAGGTGAATCCCTGGTCCCCAGAGGTCAAAAGAGGTCATTATATCCCCTTAACCCGGAGTGATGGGTGGTTGTGAACATTCCTGTAGGTGGCTAGGAACTGAGCCAGGTCTTCAAGAACAGCCACTGCTTTCAACCAAGGGGCCTACAGACCCCTTGCTGTTTCTGTTTTGAGACAGGGTCTCTCTTCCTGGCCTAGAAGTCAGTAAGTACGCATGGGCAGGCCTGCCATGACCTTTCTGTTTTTGTCTCCACATGATCACAAGCATGTGCTACCAAGCCCAGCCTCCCCCTGCCCCGCCCCATCCCGTACTCTCCCCCACCACGGGTTCAGAGATGGATCACAGGTCTCAGGTTTGCAAGGCCAGCAACAGGACGACTGTGCCATCTTCCCTGCTAAAGTCACAGTTTCTGCTATCAGGAAAGACTGGGTCCGGCAAAGGGGAGGCCAGAGGACAGCGGGTTGTCATTGGAAGGGCTGCATCTCTCTAAAGTAATTCAACTGATGCCTGCAGTTGGCTTTTGCCGTATGTCTGAGGCTTGAGGGCAGGACCTGTCAGTAAGCATCAATCTTGAGGCTCAACTCTGTTTTTCCACACCCCCCCCCACGATACTGAGCAACTTCTCCTCTCTTCAAAGTCCAAAGGCTAGATAGTTCTGAAATAAAAGGGGCTCTTGCCTATCTGTTTATCTGATTCCTGTTGGACAAGCAAATAGTTGACAGAGCAGCTGGCCACAGGGTCTGAGGCTTAGGAAAGCTGACGCTGAGAAACGAGGAATAAAGTATGGGAGTCTTTGGCAGAGGGGGAGACTACCGGCCAGAATGGGTCGAGGTGGGCGAGCAAGCCCGTGTGCATCTTCTGTATAAATCCATTGCGTTCTTCAGTCCAGTGTCTGATAGCCTTCATCACTGAGTTCTTACGGTATTTATTTTCCTTTATGTGCATGTCTGCATACGCCTGAGAGTGCATGTGTGAAGGAACCGTTGGAGGTCATAAGAAGGTGTCGGAGTCTCTGGAACTGCAGTTATGGGAGGTTGTGAGCCACCACGGAGGTACTGGGAACCAACTTTGGGGGTCCTCCGCAAAAGCAGTAAGAGCTCTTAACTGCTGAGCCATCTCTCCACCCATCACTGACGCCTTTAGCGAGCTAGGTGATCCGGGTATCACTTAGCTTCTCCTTGTCCTGCCAGCTGAACCCAGAGCACCTCTATGTCACGCTGCTATTTCTTCTCTCCTGAGACACGTTCTCACTCAGGCTTAACCTCAAACTCACGGTAATCCTCCTGCCTCAGCCTCACATGCCAGGTTCCTGTTTCCTTTAATGCCCGTGTCTGCCATCACATCAATCCTGTTCCTCTAACCCACTCCGAGAGGGGCCTATCTAAACCAAACTCCCTATGGAATCTTGCTAGGCTTTTGTACTTTGACAAAACACCTCTTGTAATTATAATGACAATGATATTTGTAAGCCCTACCGGCAGCCATAAGCCCGGGTCAGGACTGTCGGTGTCACCAATGTATATCTGTGTCTATTATCACGACCTGCATGTTGTGGACGCTCTATAAGAATTTTTTTTTTTTTTTTTTTTTTTTTGGAAAGGAGGGCCACAGAGTGGGCCAGTTTTACTTCATTGGCAAGGACCACAGTAGTGACTGCTTGATAGAGGCATGAGAGCCTGGCTAATAACGGCCCCTGGGGAGAAGCCGGCTCACACTTTGTTAGCTCAGGTCCCTCATGGGCGCCGCTTGTCCACAACATCAGTGCTCACACGTGTCACCTGAGTCACCGGACCACTGTGAAAACTTAAGTGTGCAAGATGAAGCTTAGTTAGGTCTATTGCCTATAATCCCAACACCGGGGAGGCTCAGCCTGGGACTACATGAGACCTTGCCCACAAAACCAAAAGTCAAAATAAATGAATGAGTGAATGAATGAATGAATGAATGAATGAATGAATGAATATGGATATTAGTCAGGCACAGTGGTAAGTTCTCCAGCACCCAGGGGATGGAGATGGGAGGATCAATCTGGGCTGCATGGAACCCTGTTTCATAAAAACAGACAAACAAGCAAACAAACAAAAAGCAGGAAGGAAGGGAGAAAGAGAGATAGATGAGGAAGAAAAAAAGGCTACTGTCTAGAAAACCATCAGTTCTGTATGGAGCTCTATATGAGTGTATTTACCTAACTGGACTTTTCTACCTTTGTGAAGCTCGGCCACACTGCTGATTCTCAACATCAACCACCCTGGAGCATTCGCTTGTTCCCTGGAACATAGCAGCAGCCCTCCTTTCCCCTCCGCCTGCCGCCTCTCAAGCATTTGCCGGGGGAAGATCTGACCTGTGGTCACAAACACCAATCTTTAACAACCAGCGCAAAGTGGGTGAGTCAAACTCCAAAGGCCTTGCAAGGGCTTGCTCCAGGCTCTTCTTAAGGTTATTTATTTTTTTCCTGGCCACTCGTGGTCCATGTGGTGATTTTAGAAGCCTGCTTTCTAATGAGAAGAAACTGTTAAGATTACTAACCCCTCGGAGAACTTTCTATATGCTGGTTATTTACTTGAAACATTTAACATGGATTCAGTCATTCATCCAATGCCTCCAACAAGCCCAGGAGGAGGTTACTGCTTTAGTCTTCATGTTTAGAGGTATCAGGGAATAAGAGGTTAAGTACCATGCCCCGGTCAGCGTGGGCAGCTGGGGAGTCAGGACTCAAACCCAGGCTCTCGGTCTTACATATTTGCACAGGCTGGACTGGAGGGCATTAGTCATTTCTATCAGTGCTACCCCAAACATTCTCAAGGCCCACCCAGCTCAGCACAGTTGAGTCGCCCACTCCCTCCCTTGCCAAGCAGTGTAAAGGGTGATAAGGTCTGACTGGCATTAGTCCTGAGCACATGGAAAGTTGGCATTATCCTGAGCACACGGATGGTTGAAGTGTGCCCCACATGGGGCCGTCAATGTGCCCTCCACCTGCCGGGAGTGTAGATGACGGAATCTGACCCAGACTTTTCCCAGGATAAAGTAGTTCATTTTCAGAGGGAGGATCCATTTATTATTATTATTATTATTATTATTATTATTATTATTCCCTTAAAATTGCAACACCCGGACTCTGCATGTCAAAAACAAAGGTTACATGTATCTTTGAATATATAATAAATTGTCAGTGTTAGTCTCCTCTTACAGTTGATGTTAAATAACTTACAATCCTCCTGCCTCTGCTTCCCGGCGCTGGAGTTGCAGACATAAATGGCCACACTTGGCTTAGTTCAAGTCTTAACAAACTTTTTTAAGTTTTAATGAGATAACTACACTATGAGTCTTTCAGCAGATAGCTACCACTTGGATGTGAGCTGCCTGACGTGGATGCTGGGACTCGAACTCAGGACCTCTGCAAGAGCAGTGTACACTCTAAGTCTCTGAGCCATTCCTCCAGCCCCACAGTGTATAATTCTTTTTTGCTCATTAGCTGCTGGAGCCTATGCTCCAGGAGGGCAGAACTCCGTGGTAGATTCAGCTACTCTGCTGCTATACAGCTCCAGCTTGAAACTCAGGATGTAGCCAGTCTGTCCTCGAACTCGTGGCAATCCTCCTGCCTCTGCCTCCTGAGTTCTGGGACTGCAGGCATGAGCCACCATATCCAGTTCGGTTTTGTCCACTCTTAATCCTCATTTTTCAAGACACATGGCCCACACACAAGTTGGCAGGCAAGAGTGTTAAAATAATTAATTTTAAGGTACACGCTCACAGAGAGCGTGTACCTCTGGCTGTCCTTACAGAGTTGGCAACACTAGTCCTGGGGAAGCGAGCGATAAGGCGCCTTCAGTGCGCTTCAGTCGCCACTGGGCCCTATAATCTAACCAGCCAGTTCCACTCATTTTCATTATCTGCCTGGCTGCCAAAGGCCTTTCAGTGTGTCCCACGTGATCGGGGCTTCAACTGCTTATTCTATACACAAGTGGGGACACTGCGAGCAAGAAGGGTGTGTTGACAGCGCTCCGGATGGCTGAGTCTAGACTGGAGCCGAGTTGTGAGATGTTGCATGGGGCTCAAGGTTCCAGACCCTGAGGTCTTGGAAAATATTTGTCAGGTTGAGGGTGTAGGTCACTGGGTTTAATTCCCAAGATCGACCAATCAACAACTGAACACCAGTTTAGGAAAAGCAATATACGCCCGCGAGATGGTAACCGAGTACCCAACTCGTAATTTTCAGGAAAACAGACCCGAGGCCCACTGCACCGTCGAAGCAAATCTGATGGAACACTCGTGCATGCGCCCAACACTAAACATCCTATAAACCAAACCCAACTGCACAGCTCTGAGGTTTTGCACGTGCTCTTGACTGAGCTCTTGACTGAGCCGATCTCCCTGCTGCCCACCCTGCCCGGCCACCCAGCACACCACGCCCACAGAACACCCCTTTCCTACTCTCTCTGTACCGGAGTTTTGTTGTTTGTTTTGCTTTTGCTTGCTAGCGTTTGTGCCAGTCGTTTATGCAACCAAGAGCCTTTCGCAAGCACAACTGTTCAGAACGTAGCCAGGCAAGGCGGCTCATGCCTGTAATCCTAGTTCTGGGAAGGCTGAGGCAGGAATATTGCGACAGGGTTCGAGGCCAGCCTAGGACAGAGTGGGTTTCCGTCCTAAGAGGGGAGAAAGTTCAAACGGCATGGAATGCTTAAATGGACGAATGCATTCAACAGGCGGCGTCCCACGCGCCAAGATGGATCCTTCCCCGCGTCAGCCTTGTGCCTGTCCTGCTCTGGCTGAGCTGGACCGCGCTCTCCCGTCCTTTCCCGGACGAGCGCCGGGCGGTGACGGGCGCTCCCAGCCGGAACTCAGCTTCGGTCACAGTCCCACCCCCAGCCCCGCAGCCCCCGCTCCAGCCCCGGGCAGGGTTGGGGGACTGCCGCGCAGTCCTCCTTCAGGTCCTCTGCAGCCCGGAGGGCCTACCTTGGCCCCTGTGCTCAGAACCTGCCAAGGCCACGTCTCCACGCTCCCGAACAGTGAGTTCCTGATCATGCCCAACATGGTGTCGCCGTCGGGTCAGGACGATCGAGCGTACCCACAGCGGCGAAGCAGGGCAGCAGGGTCCCCAAGGCGAGAAGCACAGGGAACACGTGAGCGGTCAGGGGACTGAGCGGGGCGGGGCTTCGGAGGTCTCCGCCCACTGGGCGACACCGGGCGGGCCCGGGGCGTGGTCTCCGCAGGCTCCACCCACAAGAGCCGGTCTCCTGGGTGGGGCGGCGTTTCAGGCTAGTATCAAGTCTCTCCCGTTATACTTTCCTTAGTCACCCTCTTCCTACCCTCTTGCCTCGCTCAGAGGATTGAAAATAGAACCTGATGTAGTTATTTTGTGACAAGGTCCTGCTATGCAGCCTAGGCTGGCTACAGGGTCCTTCTGCTTCAACCTCTGGAGTGCTGGGCTACAAGTGACCCCTGGTTTCATCTTCTAGGGGGATGAGGAAGCCAGTCTTAACCAGTTCCTTACTGTTTTCATTTCTACGTTGTCTCTTTGGTTTGGAGGGTCTCAGTACAGCCCAAGCTGGCCTGGAACTCACTACGTAAACAGGGTGGCTGGGAACTCGTGCTGTCTTCCTGTCTTTGCTTCCACACCATAATCAGCTCTACAATGCATTTCAAAAATGATTTATCTTGCCGGGCGCAATGGCGCACGCCTGTAATCCCAGCACTCAGGGAGGCAGAGGCAGGCAGATCTCTGTGAGTCCGAGGCCAGTCTGGCCTACAAAGCGAGTCCAGGACAGCAAAGGATACAAAGAGGAACACTGTCTCGAAAAAAAAACAAAACACACAAAAAATTCATTTTACTTTAAATTGTATGTGCGTGCACGCACACATGAGTGCCTTGTATCCGCTGGGAGCTAGAATCACAGGAAGGTGGGTCCCGGGAACTGAATTCAGATCCTCTGTGAGGGCAGTGTGCATTTTTAACCACTGAGCCCTCTCTCCAGTCCCAACAGTGTGCTTTAATCACAAGTTTCACATTACTTGCCCAAACAACAGCTCATTCCTTCCTCTCATAACCATCTGATTTTATCATGATTTCTTTCCTTGCATGTCTGTTTCTTGCCAAGTATTTCTTGCCAATATTTCTTTACAAATATTATCTTCTTGTATCCCTAATTCATCCATATCACATAACCTAGTATCACAGACATACACAGAAACATATCCGTCTTACAGAGGGGGGAAGGAATGGTAGGAAGGTAGTGGATATGAGCAAAGTGCAATGATATATGCAAATGACACACATAAAAATGCCTCAGTGAAACCCATTGTTTCATATGCTATCTGTCCTGCTTAGCTTTTTGTCAACTTGACACAAGCTTGAGTTATCTGAGAAGAGGAACCTCAGCTGAGAACATGCCTGCCTCAGACTGCCTGTCAGTGAGTCTGTGGGGGCTTTCCTGATTAATGACTGGCGTGGGAGGGTCCCTCTCACCGAGGGCAGTGTCACCCTTGGGCAGGTGGTCCTGAGTTGTTTAAGAAAGTAGGTTGAGCCAGACAAGAGGGGCAAGCTACTTAACAGCACTCCTGTATGGGTCTGCTTCAGTTTCCACCTCCAGGTTCCTGCCTTAAGTGATGGAATGTGACCTGAGCTTTGTAAGACAAAAGTAAATCTTTCCCTCCCAGGATTGTTTTTAGTCGTGGTGTTTTATCGCAGCAATGGAAGCCCTAGGTAAGACACTAATAATGATAATGGTAATATAACAACAAAACAAAAACAGAGGGAGAAAAAGAGGAAACCTGAGTCAAACTAAACAGCTCTTCCAAACCACTGATTTATAACACTGCACTGACTCCTCCGGCCTGGACCCTCTTTACCCCTTAGTATCTGGTGTCTCTGGATGGATGCTTCAAACCCTGCGTCTCTATGAACACTATAACAGGTGACTCTTTATTCTAATGTCCTGCCAAGATGACATTTGTTCACGTGCCTTGAACCTGATGGCAGAACGGCTCAAGCTGGCTTGAGCTGAGATCTGTGTCTAGTGGGTCTAGTGCTGAGGCATCTGAGCAGGAGTCTCCTTCCTGAGAAGGGGAAGTGGGGCCTGAGCTGGGCAGAAGTATCAACGATGCCCTCAAGTCTGATGGAAAGAAAAATTCCCATTATTAACTGCTTATAAAAGGAGGCTTTTCTATAGCTTGATGACCGATTCATTGGAATGAGATAAGCCTCTATTTAATTATTTTATACTTCCTCCACTCTGAAGTGCCAGTTACTGTTAAGAGGCACTGCTTTTATGTACCATCAAGAAAGAAAAAAAGTTACTAAGAAAAACTATAACATTATGACCAGTATATGCACTTACATACATTAAATTACAATTTAATTTATAGGAGGTTGTCATCTTGCTTTATTTGTTCAACTAGAATCTCACGATGTGGCCCAGGCTGGCCTCAAACTAACCATTCTCGTTCTTCAGCCTTCTGAGTGTCAGTATTACAGGGATGTATCACCATGGCTGGCTTGGTATGTTGGTTTTAAGAATAATTTTTTAAAGCCCAGGGTAGTAGCTCATGTCTAAAATTCTAGCACTCAGAAGACCTCTGAGGCAATAAGTTTGTTGAATGTCCGAGCCATCTTGGGCCATATAGTGAGTTTCAGATCAGCCTAAACTACAAAATGAGTCTTGGTCTCAAAAATTAACTAACTAACTAGCTAACTAACTAACTAACTAACTAACTAACTAACTAACTAACTAACTA